AAACTAATTTAATGAGTGATCGCGGAGATGGTTGATGACACACTGATGTACCTATATAGAAAAGCGTCGCGCGCAGGCGGCGATCTAACTATACGTACTTACTACTTATGCTATCTTACAAGGTGTTCGGTTACTTTCCGAACACTCACTCACCGTTATTTGCTCCCGGTTACAGCCACCCTTCTCCGCTATAGCCATTTTGATGTCGTCTGACGTGACTGAATCATCAAGGCCAGCCACTCGAACCTCGGCACACTTTTCAGGTCGCGACACGTTCACCCCGCTAGGACAGATATCCTTCAATTTCCTGGCAAGGGCATCGGCCTTGTCTCCACTGTGTGATCCAGGTAGCTCTTAGATCACCGCTCCCGTCGCCGCCCGCTTAAACTTGACGGCTTCAATGCCCAGATCACTCAAATTAATTTTTTCCTTTGCCTCCCGTAGTACGGAGGCGTAAGACATTGCCTGTTCATTCTCAGTGATCGTAAGTACAACGGCCGTAGATCTTGGGGCCTTCAGCTTGACTCGTGACCGTTGAACAGTCGTTGCTGCGGGCTTTACGATGCTAGCGGTTGGGGTATCCTTGCTAGTTGCATTCCCCTTCTTGGTCTGTTTGCGCTTCCTGGTCACTGTTTTCCACTCCTGCTCGCCAGTGGCCTCCGGGTTGCTCTGGGTTGGTGGAATCTGCGCACTTAGGGCATCGAGTGCATTGTTAGCATCAAGTGCCCGCAGTTTCCTTCCTTTCCTAGGTTTCCGCTTCTGCTCTAGCGAGTCTCCTCCTATGCTCTTCGGTGTAGAGTCCCCAGTTGTAATCGGATCCGCTGCTAAAGGTGGTCGAATTTTTGGTTCCGCATTTAGGCGAGGCTCCAGGTTGGCGAGTCTCGCACTAAGACATTCGCCCATTTGTCTCATTAAACGACCTTCGAGCTCGGCCAAAAGTTGTGGTAGCTGCGGAGATGGTGAGGATTTCCGTGGTTGCTATTTATGCACCGGTTTCCTGGAACACTCTTGGATCAGGGTTCTCAACTCAGCCATTTCCTTTTGAAGTGCTTCCACCTGTCCACGAAGCCTCTCATTTTCGTTTCGGAGCGCCCTCGTCTCCTCACTGACTGTACGGTAGCGGTACTAGCTCTTCGGCGTCTCTGCGGATTGAGGTTACCGCCTGTTTAAGCGCTGACACAAAGGTGCCCTTTAGGTTGCTCGAATTTCGGGCGACTTTATCCACGGCGGCGAGGCTGGCCTCAATCCTCACCTTTGGGTCAGCGTGCCGTTCCGTTTGCGCTGTGCTACTTATTTTTGTTGGGGGACTGGGGGTCGCCTCTTGCAATTCCGCTTCAGTCCTCTTCTCCCGTTCTACTCGTTGGAGTTTAGTTAAGGCAGCCCGGGACTTTCTCGTCGAGTGAGGGGTTCCAGTGTCGCTAGAACTACATTCCACCTTCCTTCTTTTCCGACGAAAGAATCGCGCCGGTCGTCCTTGTACATGTTGATAGAGGCATACGATGCGTCAGCGCTGAGCATCTCACAACTCGTCTCCAGACTGGCCTCCATCATTTGTCGTCCAATATTTGTTTCGATATCAGTAATAGCCTCAACTTCTCGGTCTACTATGATGTTATTTGGACTCGATGAGGGTAGTGGAGTTCGCACCAAGACTACTCTACACTCTTTGAGAGGGACAGGCGTACTCCGGTTGGACATCTCGCTCTCATCCCTTGCATTCTCCTTCACATCTCCACATCCTACTCCTCTTTCTCTTTCTCATGAGTTTGCCCCCCCCAGAGTACGGTGGGGCTTAGCCATGGCATCGCCATGGGTGGGATTTAACCCACCTGGGGTAGTTAAACGTGTATTAAAACTCATGCTTGCTTTTATTTAAACAGGGGTCGCTCCCCTGTGGCCCTCTTTAAGACCCATGTACCACAGCCGAGTGCCCAAGCTGTAGCGAGTCCTCGCCGTCACTCCGGAGGGATCCGGGGACGCGTTTTTTGGCGCTAGACATTGACCTGCCCGCCAACGAACTCAATTCCTCATAAAGAGGGGATTAGGTGTCCGACGCCACGCTCATCAGCGCCGAACGTTAGGGGGATTTTCGTATCAAGGTTTCCTTCCTCTTATTGCCCAATAGGGCCTCTCCTCCAATCGAACACAAACAATCTCCAACTAAACAAAACAATGGTCGAGCGTCCTCCACCTGACCATATCGCCAAACGATGCTTTTTTTGCCCCCCTGAAAACAGAACATACATACATCTACCCCGCATCTCGCATGGTTCTTACGAAAGAAAGAGTCGAGAGCAGCCGAGACCCAGAGACAAGTGCGCAGTAGCGCGATAAAATGGACCTCCTCCCTAGTCACTCCCGCACAAAGCAAGGTCCCTCAGTTTCACCTTTGAGATCAAATGATCTCTCCAGCTTGCCAGGAACTAGCGGACTCGTTTCCGCTGGGCGCTGATGCCCTCTCCAGAGACCGGCCTTCAAAATAAAGGCCAGCCTGTTTTACCTCCTTATTTGCTTCCCCTTTGCGACGGCATTGTTGCGGTCGCTCCAGATACTGGGCCCCCCCCGGCACGACAAGCCTAGGAGCCGCGGGTAAATCCATCCGCGGAGGGGGGGAACCTAACCTAACCTACATGTAAAGAAACTGGTATGTTTCTTTGTTATGAACTAGATGGCGTCATCAGCCATCGCGCCGAAGCAGTTTGAAGTTTGACAAGTGAAATGTCATCGTTATTAAATTCAGTATTGTTTGATTGTGAAATTGTTGTAAAAAGGAATTAATAATTGTAATAATAAACTATTAATGTCGTTTCCTTGTTTTCAGGTAGGGTAGTGTTATTTAGGTTTAGAATAATGTAATTAGTATAATGTGTTGATAATAAAATAAATATCCTTGTTTTCAGAGAAACACAATTGTTTATTTGAATCAATTCCATATAAAAAGATATATAATCTTATATACATATAATATACACGAAAAAGAAAAAATAACTATTCCCTAGTTAATGCCGTTTATATGCAGCCTATTAGACGGCTCATAATATTTCAGTCAATTTACGTAGAATTTTAGAGTGTTCTAAATTCAAATCTTCCCTATGAAGCACACTGTTTTGCAATGAAAACAAAGTCAAAATCCTTTCGGTAATTTTCAAGTTAATGCCGATAATATACAACCTCTTGAACGGCTTATATTTCAGTCAATTTAAGTGAAACTATAATAAATTATATATTGAAACGTTTTTTATGAATAACACTACCCTTTGGTGAAAACAGAATTAAAATCCATTCGCTAGTTTATGAGTAAATATCGTTTATATGCAGCCTCTTTGACGGCTCATATTTCAGTCAATTTACGTAGAATTATAAAGTATTAGAAATTTAAACCTTCCCTATAAATCAGACTACCTTTTGGTGAAAATAGTGTCAAAATTCATTTGGTAGTTTTTGAGTAAATGCCGTTTATATGCGAATGGATTTTGATAGAGTTTGCATTAAAAAGTAGTGTTATTCATAGGGAAGGTTTGAATTTATAAATTTTTAAAATAATAAATTCAAACCTTCCCTATTCACCAAAGCATTGTGTGATTTATAAGGAACGTTTCAATATATAATTCTTTGTGGTTTTACGTAAATTGACGTATAGAAACGGCATTTACTCAAAAACTACCGAATAAATTTTGACATAAGATTAACAAAAAAAAAAAAAGGGTCCGTGTACTTATGTATATGTACGCGCGTAAGAATTTATACTTCTTTGGCAATATTAAAAATAGTTTGGCTTTGTTCCACCTCCAGTTTTTGATGTTTCACAGCGATAAGATGAAAACTCTTTTTTTGTATTCAATTTAGTGCAGTTACACTGATTCATCAATTGTTTTTTGTCTCTTTTCCTTATATTTGCTAGATAAAATCAGAAAAATTACATGTTTTGATTAAACAATGTGGTTAATTTTTTAATCAAAACATTACTCGATAATAATAATAATACATACGGATAGTTAACCTCAATTGTATTGAAGCACTTAGGAAGGTTGATGAGCACAGTTTTTTCACAAATATTAATAAGTATTGGTTTAAATATTCAATTTAAATCACTTCTGATTATAATTCAAAAAGCATCGCTAAATTTCTTTGAAAAAATAATTAAAACTCCTTTATTTGTTTAAAAGATAAATGACAAATGTCATTATGGTCATTCAAAATTGTTGGCATACGAACTTCACGCATATTCTATTTCTTTTTACTTGTAGATTGTCTTATTCCTATCTCGCTCGCGCACGCTATAATCACACTCCTAATTTTGTGTCACGGGTGCGCGCGCATTGTAAAATTTCACTCTCATAAATTTTTCATAACGCGCCTAAAGAAGTATAACTTCAAAAAAAATTTAAAGCACTTAGCACACATTTAAAAGTTACAAAACAAAGTACATAGCTTCGTTGGCGACCATGATACGGTATTGCTTATCAGCTGCTTATCATGCATATCATGTTTCATCATTCATCTATACCATCATGTATATATCATCATGTATCTATACTTAGATATAGTTTGGGATTTTCAGATTCAAAATTTAAAGGTAAAAAAAAGGGTTTTTTAGGCCAAAAAACAAATTTTATTAGTGTTTTGTGGAACTGGACTGAATGTTTTTGTGGAAGCGTGGTTTTTATGTATATACATAAGAAGAAAGACAGAAAAAACATTTATTTGTTTAAAGAGCACATAATATATAAAACATATATTTTTATATTTTGTTTCTTTTGTCACAAAAGCTTAACACGAGACGGTAACGTCGCATGCTAAATTTGTCAAAGAAAAGAACTATGCATTGTATATAGTTATACTTTATATGAGTTGTTATTTGTACAAACAAATAAAAATTGTGAACAAATGACTTGTCACTTTAAATTTAATTTTTTTAAATCCTTTTAATATTGTTTAACGCTAAGAATTTATCATGGAAACAACAACCTATATTTCAGATTATATATTAAAACCATAATTTAAACATTATTCTTTTTATTGTCAACTTCTACATACAATGCTAAATTTTGCCATTTTAATGGTTCATAACCAACACTAGTAGTATTTGGAAGCAGGTATCTTGCAAATAATTCTAAAACATGTGGTCCTTCTGTTGATATATTATAGTATGTGAAAAGATCTGAAAACATTATTTTTTCTTTAATTTGAATTTGCAAATAAACAACAATATATTTTAAAATCACCAGTCTTCTATTAAATGTTCATTACTTTGATGACAATTACATTAATTTAATGACAAACAATTGCAGTTACTTTGAAAGTCAGATTGTATAGGTACATAATATATATATATATATAGACAAATAAATCAAGTCAATGTTATTTTACTCACCATTAAGTGGCGGTTTATGAGAATGTAATGAGCTAGGAATACTTGCAAACACCACATTTTTCGGCACTTTTAAGTCTCCTCTTCTTCCCATAATTAATCTTTCATATGGTTGTTTTTTTGAGCCACTACTAAATGGGCAAATAGGCTCTAAATCTATGGTCAACTTTAACCAATACCATGTTGTTACATACTCAACACCCCATTTAGGAAAAATTAGTTCCTTGACAGAATTAATATTGCTTGGGGAATTTGTACACCACACTGCTATAAGGGTGGTGTCAGAAAATAGATTGTTTATAGGTATTGATGCGATTTCTTCATTATACATCATTGAATAACTGGAACAAGAAAAAAATCACACTTAATATGAAGGATTTTATGATGGAAACATTAAGGATTTAAGTTATTTGTTTATGAGATCTTTAAGAAAGTACATTAAATACTTACCTGTTGAGAAAAAGAGTTAACTTTTCTATATGTTATAAGTTACCTTAGTTTGATAGCTGCCTTCTTCAATCTTCGAATATATTTATTCCACCATGGTGGATCTGCTATAACAATATCATATTTATTCCCATCCAATTTCTTACATTCTTCTTTTACACAGCCACATTTGAATCTGAAATTGACAAACTAATTTAAGATGGTTATTTTCCAAAGACAAGTTTAAGGAATTGTCAATCAAAACTACAAAACAGATAATGAAAATATATGAAGTAGTTTCATTCAAGGGCATCTAAGCCTTACCTACATTTTCCTGGTACTAAAAAATCAGATCCTTTGATTTGACATATCAGTGGGACTTCAGAGTTATTACCGCCGCTTGTATCTTTGTGGTCATAGTCAGTTGATTCAAATAAATTCTTTGAAAAATCCCTTAAAGAAGAAGCATCCATTGTATTGTATTTAGTTTTTACTGCTGTTTTTAAGCCTGTCGGTAATGATGCAATGAGATTATTGTATATTGCTTGTATAGTTAGCGCCTGAAAAAATAGATTATAGGATAAGTATTCTACGGTAAAACGGTGGTTGTCATTTAGAGGCATTTATTGTGTTGCTGTAATTACAGTTAACAAATTATTTAATTTACGTCGAAATATATTAAATATTTAAATATGATTGATTTTAAGACATAGATTAATAAGTACTTACTTCTTCAAGAACATTATCATTGTGTTTCCTTTTCCTGAATTGTTTACTTGGTGCGATAATGCTTTTACGTTTTATTGAGAACAACTTAGGTGTTAAAGTGTAATGTTTTGTATTATTTTTTTCTCTTACATTGCTGTAGCATTTGGTAACAAAATCCATATGATCAATTAAACATATATTTTCCTTACTAAATATTATACTCATGATTTCACTTTTGTATTTAATCAAAATATTTTATATTTTTAGTGGGCTGCTTCTGTACAATAGTTAACTTCGATTTTTATAAAATGTTTGTTTTTTCAACAAAACAAATTCTAACGCATTAGGGATATTCGGTATATATGGTTATCGATGTTCGCAGTTCGATGATTATTATCGATGTTGAAAGCAAAAACATCGATGTTTTGACTTCGATGTTACTATACCAAAAATATCGTAACATCGATGTTAACAGAATCGAATTAGGGGCCTCATAGCCTAGCGGCCTTAGTAAGTGGCAGCTAGGTGAGGGGTACCGGGTTCGATTCCCGGTTCGAGGGCAAGTTTTAATTTAATTTAAATTTGTTCTCGGCCTTTGGGAGGGTTGTGCGGTAGTGCTTAAACTGTACATGGAGGACACGGTCGAATTTTTAAAGACAAGCACGAATTATAAAAAATCCTATACTTGACGCTGGCTAATGCACAAATCGTGTCAGAGCCATAAAAAAAAAAAACCAGAATCGAACATCGATGTTAACTCACGGCCTCCCGCACGACCAATGCAACTTACGAAACAAATTATGTCTTCTTAACGCATCCACAAATCAGGTTAATTAAAATTATGAACGCGTATTCTAACATGTATATTTTTCTAACATCGACCATCCCTATTATATATATATATATAACACATACCAAATAGAGATTATAGAGTGCATTATATACACCACAGTTACCTATTAGGTACTAGGATGTAGAGCACAGATAAAAAAGACTAAGCTAAGCTTTCTAAGATTTAGTGTGATATTCTACTAATTCTCTGATTCTCACTTAGCCCATAATATTCTGAAACGACAATGAAACTTCAATATTATAATTTAAGGACTGTCAAATAGAGGCCCATAATCATAGACGGACTATGGTATAGACCAGGGGCCTTAGTCAAGATGCCTTAACAGTAGTGTATGTAGAAAGTCGAAAACTTAATTTGTATGGAAATGACAGTTCGTGTCGAAAAGTTTTCATACAAATTTAGTTTTTGACGTCGAAGGCATCTTGACTAAGGCCCCAGGCATCAGCGTACAGCGTGTGAGATAGCGAATAATTATCGACATAACTTCATAATGTATATCAATATGCCACTAATATTGCCATGAGAAAATTTTTACCCACAAAATAGGGAAAAATCGACATAACTTCATAATGTATATCAGCTCGGAAGCTCCAGATTCCGTCGCTGCCTCTGTCGCTGAACTGGTTTTGCAGGGCATGGAACTCTTTATTCCATTTTCTGCGGTGCCGATCGTTGGCAAGTCTCAGCCCTGGTTTAAACGTTCTTGCAAGGCGGCCTCGTGTCGAAAGCGAGAATGCTTTAAGGCATGGGCGGAAGCGGCGAAATCTCGTGATGCCAATACCAGCGAACTTAAAAAAGCATATAACTAAGCCTCCAGGTCCTTAAAACGGGAAATCACTAAGGCCTTTGCCTTGCCTGACTTTTCAGAGCACATTGCCAGATTTGGCGAGAGATTGGCCCAACTCCCTTGAGGGACTCGAGCCTTCTGGTCTCTTGCCAAAGCTGTCCAAGGGAATTTTTGTCAGCCCGCCATTCCACCACTGCACAGGGAGGATGACTCGTTGGCCCACACTGCGAAAGAGAAGGCCGACCTTTTGGGCTGTCTCTTCGCGTCCAACTCGACTTTGGATGACCGAGGAAGATCACCACCGACCATTTCGCGGTGTGATTCTTCGATGCCGGAAATCACATTCCGGCAACGTGCTGTCCGCAAAGCACTATCTTCCTTGGATATTCATAAGTCGAGCGGAGTTATAATCCAACTATTTACAAAGGACACGAAGTGTGGCAACTACCTGACGTAGGTAACATGATTCGCAATTTAGTCGGTTAGCACTTAAAAATATGTTTGGAATTGTCGTATTTACAGTTTTAATTCATTGAAGATTGCTTATTATTGACCAAAATACACATTCGAATTAATAATCCTTGAACAAAGTTACTGGGTCGTAACAAAATAAGCTACTTACCGATGAAAGGTTATGTTTGGTTCTTTACGTTCACTATAGCTTTTACAGCCAATTATGCAACAATTCACAATGACTGACACTTTAAATACACCTCTTATAAGGATAAAGTGTTAAAATATGGGTTTGACTTGGGTTTCATAGATTTATCAGTAAACGGTGAAAACTTGTTTACCAGCAAGGGCTTGATGGTATACAAATAAAACCCGATACGCAAATAGAGACAGAAAAACTGATACTCTGTTTCGCTCGCACTTAAGTATTTCACGTTAATGCCTTCTCTCTTTAGTTATTATTGTTATTTTAGAAGCTCATCTAGTTCTATACTCTATCTACGGTTGTAGGTCACTACCGGTTTAATATCTGACAAACTGGAGTCACTGTTCTAATTATCCTTTAGTATCTGTTCCCCTATCGCTTTCTGTCATAATCACAAATCTATTTCTAGTTTATTTTTAATGATCAAGGCGCAAATGGGCAGGAGGCTCATCTGATGTTAAGTGATATAAGTCCAAGCGGAAGGCGCTGGTGGTTTATGAGTTCGGACAACTGGATTTCCAGCTTTCTCACGTCGTCACAGCAACGCAAGACGGTACTTCACTCTGGGTCATCGCTTGCAACTGGAGAAAGTGTAAATTCGAAGTACTGTTAGAACCTCTGGGCTGGAGCTCCCTAGTACCGACTCATTCCACTTGACCGTATTCAAAGCGCAGTTCGAATCGCGTTTTCGTTGCGTAGAGATGTGGTCTGGTGGTGGGTCTTTCTGCATCATCTACCACTTTTACCACAGAGCGTATTCAAAGGAGTTGTTCGGATAAGGTAAGTTTCACCATCGTCGAGGCGGAATACGAAATTCCAGCCGTATCACCTCCTTCCACAACTGACCGTTTTTTAAGGAATTTTTTGCCGAGCACCACCACTATGAGGAACCAGCTGTCCACTGAAGTATATCCGAACCAATTCGAATCAGGGTAAATAGCAGAAAGTTCAAAGTTAATGTAGAAATAGACAATATTTATCCCTGATTGATGAGCTTGGGAAAAGCCCTCTACTTGTATTATAGGACGTTTTGTGGGAAGAAATTAAAAGAGCTAAGTGTTAATAAGTACGCATTGTTTATGAAAATAGTAAAATAATCAAAGTGCCAAATCCCGTTAACTCTTTCCGTTCATGACAATGACACTAGTCTTATTCTTCTTCGGATAACCGTCGGGGTTCATCGTCTGCCATCGCCAGAAGTCTGTACCTGGGGTTTCGAAAGAGCTTTTAAATAAAATAAAACCAAAAACAGCAAATCTACAAAAAACGTTATGTGAATAGTCTTAAAATGACTAAAAACCTTTAATTATATTCAATTAGTATTGAACCGCTTCCGTACTTTTTTCTTGTTGATGTTACAAACTTTAACAATCTCTCTCTCTCACACACAATAAATTACTTCAAAAAAAAGAAGTGAATTGATGTAATAGGTAACTATCAGATCGATTCAATAGTTAAATTGGGGAAGCATAATCTGACAAATCAACAAAGATCATCTGAATAGAATAATATTTGACTATGCTTAAAGACACTCACACATCTGTTCAATACTGCGAGTGGTGGTCCAGCCCAGCTCAGTGTTAGCGAGAGTGGCGTCAGCCCACATGGCAGTGATGTCGCCCAGTCTCCGCGCCACATACTTCGTTGGCACCTTGGTGCCCGTTACCCGCTCAAACACATCGACCAACTCTTTAACTGAAACACCACGCCCTGTGCCTAGATTGTAGACCTGAAAAAAAAAACTATTACTAATAATTGGCATCAGAATAGTATTTGGAATTTGTATATGGTTTAATAACAATGATGAAATTAACCTTTTTATAGTCTCTTACTAACCTTTAGACCAAGATGAGAGGTGCACAAGAGATTTAGTGCTGCCACGTGGCCATTGGCTAAATCCATCACATGAATGTAGTCTCGGATACCTGGATTTTAAACGAAATGTTGGACAACTTTCCACAACTATAAAGAGTCAAATTTAATATAATATTTACCGAGTTTAGTAGTAGTTGTCACAACTCACCAGTTCCATCAGGGGTGTTATAATCATTTCCAAAAATGGTGAGCACTGGCTTCTTTCCCAACGCGACTTGAGCCATGAAGGGCATGAGGTTTGTAAACTCTTTTGTCGGGTCCTCCCCGATCAGCCCAGAAGGATGTGCGCCCACCGGATTAAAGTATCTCAGAGATATTATGTTCCATTTCTGAAAAATACATTTTTGATAGCATTTCTTCCGTACAAATATTTAATAAATTGTATATAAGATTCATTTGTGAAGAACATTTCGAAAATCTCGAATTTACACGTTTGCAATGAAGAAAATATTGTTTAATTCATACAAGTTTTTTGCCTCGATGTTTATTGTTCTAATTAAGATACGACAGCTTAACGGCCTTGAACTTATCGTCGACTCCCCGAGAACTGGTTGTGGACACATCTGTGACCTATGTATCATAGACACGTTCACAATTATCATTTTGTGGGAACGTGGCACGTGGCGTGGCTTTTGTTTTACACTCAATACGCTTTAGAAAAACATACACATCACAAATTACAAACTGTCGAGACTTACCGCATCGGCAGCGCTTAAATCTTTAAGCATCTCTTCGATGAAGTACTTGGTTCGGCCGTACACGTTGGTGATATTGCCCGTTGCGTGTGTTTCCGTAATGGGCAGATGTTTTGGCTCCCCGTAGACCGTGCACGATGATGAGAAAACCATTTGATAACAGTTATGGGATCGCATAACCTAAAGATTGAAAAAAAAATCTTAACAAGCTTTACCTTGCATATTTTACGATATCAGATTAAAAGTTAAGATTCAAGTTACTCCAGACACTTCTATGTTAGTGCTCAAATCGGCAGAGGGATAGTTCCGAAAGAGACGAAGTAGTTTTGCGCAAGCCAGTAGAAACATCACCATACCTCCAATAAGTTGAGCATTCCGAGTAAATTATTCTGGTAATAGAGTAACGGTTGTTGCATTGACTCTCCGACCGCTTTTAGCGCTGCAAAGTGGATCACGCAATCTATGTTGTGCTGAAAACATATTATTGTGTCTTTAACGAGCTATCTACCATGTATACGAGAGATTCGTATTTTGCGAAATATTATCTGTGATAAAAATCTTCATACATCATATGAGTCGTAAGTGCGAAAACATGTAATACTAGAAAATGCTATTAGCTACGCTTATCTGGATGTTTCATACCTTATCAAAAATGCCATTTATCTGCGCTTTATCCAAAAGATCGGCTTCGTAAAAGGTAATTTTCTTTCCTGTGATTTGTTCCGCACGATTAAGTGCCGGCGACCCTTCTTCGTCACCGACAGCATTGGCGAAGTTGTCTATGGCCACTACGTCGTATCCAGCGTCCAGAAGATCAACCACGCAGTGGCTGCCGATGTACCCGGCGCCTCCCGTTACCAGCACGGTTTTAAATTGAGGCATTTTGAAGCCGGCTTACCCTAAAACAAACAATAAAAATAAAACCTTTCCTCATCTCCGTACACTTCGTACAACAACAAAAACCTTCGCTTTCCAGTCACGTCTTTTCGCAATACGGATGAGGAAACATCATTTTGCTGCTGAGCGTAATTATCACATCTCGCTAAAAAGTAACTGTTGAGTTCCACTAATACATCATTTCTTAGTAATATATTGTTTACACATAAGGTAAATGTTATATCAATTGTAAAGCTAATGCAATATATCAAATAAATAATAAAAATAATCGTGATCCAATGGACCGCTGATGATTCCTTCGCTAAAGTTAAAAATTCAAGGGAAGGTCACTATTATTTCCATTGAGTTAATCGGAATTATTTCCGTTACTGACACGATTCATGTCTTACTTATTAATTGTTCACGTGTGTGCTTCTTAAGGAGAATTAAATTAAATAGCTTTGACTAATCGCTATAGTAAGGATTTGGTAATTATTTCAACCCTATAATTATAATTAGTAAAATATAAAGTCAACAATGAACAAATACATACAAAGTAATTCAATATCCCTATTCATATAATCTTATTGAAAATATCATGTTTCTTAATCATACACGGTTTTTCAATTAAAAGTCCAATGATATCATTTTTTATGTACTCTTTGGGAAATTAGTAGGTCCCTGTAGCTTATTCTAGTTCTATTCTTCCGTTCTACGCCCTTAATTTTAGAACTGCCAGTAAATGTAAAATTAGAAGCATTTAATGTATATTTCTGTTATTCTGATAAAAATGCAATAATAGATGAATTTAAATATATGAGTTTGTATAAAATTAGTACAATAAATAAGAGTAATACGTTAATTCCTAATAAATAATGTGTTCCCATGTCTCATTACTCGACTCCTGGGCTTAGTTTTTAACTCACGTGCTTAATAACACAGGGGTTTGGGCTCGCAAAACAATAGTTAGGTATATCCTTGGAAAGGTCCACCGACCAAGATTAAAAAAAAATCAATTAAACATTCCTAGTCATGAGTCAGGGTTAAGCAGCAGGTTTGAGATTTGTGATAAAATAGATGTTACGTTTGAGAAATTAAACTGTAATCCTCAATATAAATTTCTCTCTAATTGATAAAATAAATGACTTTATTTTTTACGATCGGTTGAGTGTCCCCCGTAGAGTTTTTTTGTAAATCCTGTTTTGGAGATTCTTGGAATCTAGTCACCGTTAAGGAAGTTTAGAATACACCTCTTGAGCTTTGATAAATGCTCGTATCGTTTCTTCACCCCCGTAAAAACAATTACGCGACAGAAATGTATAAACATATTTATTTAAAAAAGTAATTTGTAGCTTTTATAGTTATTGTTCGCTTTAGTTATTAATAGGAAGTAAAAACTATAAAATACTGTCTAGGTATGCACCTGGAGGAAGCGGTTCTATATTACGTTATTGAGATAACTGTGAACCGGTCACTTTCATACAAAGGTACCGTTATTCTATTCACTTACGGTTGATTTCGTATCACATTAACCACTGTAAACGCCGACTACACTAAATATTAATTTACAAGTATTTTGCTTTTGAACGAAGCGCGTCTGAACGGTCTGCGCGCGCGCTACACAGTACAGACTTTGTAGCCGGTGATTACCGAGCGATGTTCGCAGGAATTGCACTCGACGACGTCACCAGATACAGCTCGGAACACCGTTACACCGAAATGAGCGCATTTACTACGATAAATACAAATCTACGATTAATTTATCGATTGTGATAAACACGTCAATTAAAAAATAATGTTCTGCTTTCCAACGCAATACATTAATAAAATAAACCCATTACTTGGTGACACTGCACTAAATACTACATATTATCTACATTTAAAATTTCAGTTTTATATCACATTGCCTTAAATTGGAAAGGAGCAAACTAGATCAGAAGGACCACATTTATTTATGAATGGTCTTCCCTTAATTTGCTAAACTAAAAAAACCCCTTTAGTTCGGCCTTGCGGTGTAACAGTCACTCGCACCATGCGGGCGGTTTGCCCGACAGTGACCTCATAATACCTATTACCTGACGGATCACACAACTCTGCAGCTTCATCGGACGTTGTATCGTATTGCTTCAAACGTTAGGACTTGCAAAAATTATGTTTTGTAGTTTACTGCGCCACCTGCGTCCACGCTCAACAGAGTACATAATTGAAAGGTCATCCCGTTACATCTGCATGGCCTCGGGATTTAAAACTGCAATTCGAGGCATTAGATAAGCACTATACCGAAGCAATAGTGATTTCTATTTATTTTTTTGTCCTTGCCCTTTATTTGGTATTTTTTATTAACTGAATCACACCACAGTACCTGGTGAAGTAATTAATAATTTACAAGAGAACTTCTCCTAAGCAATGGTTTTGCTCTCAGGGATTGTTTATCCTCTATAAGTTAAAATAAAACACGTGGTCATTATCAAAATTTATTCCTTCCTCGGGTTATATGAAACGAATTAGATTCCACTAAATGAGATGAAACACGTGATCCTCACTGCAAGCACCCGCGCAGTTCGGTCAGATGTTTCATATTCTAACAATTCTACAATAATTGCTCGAATCAGGAATGAGTACATATTTAATTAGAAATGGTTTCCAAATATTTAAGTTTCGGAAGGATCGTTATTTGTCGTTAATCGTTTCGTAATAAATATAATACTTAATCTCTACAATATAGAATATATTCACAATGCTCATACACACATACTATGTATCGATAGTACGTTTTGAAAAACAGGAACTAAATTAATTAAAAATACTTGTGCGTTTAAAGCTGAGCTCCAATCAAAACCTTACGGGACGAATTGTGCGGCTTTAGCCTTACTGTTAATTATTCTGTGGAAGCCCGACCAATTCATTACTACATATTATTATCTCTGTTTAGGTATTATTTACTTCTTTTTACAAAATACCATTTGAGAAGTATACTCTGTAAGGGGAAATAATGTGTCCGCACCTAACTAACTAAGATAAAGCAACATTAAACCTTATAAGCTAAAACATAAATTGCAAACCTAACTTGTGCCGGTAAATGGTTTATGACTAGTCAATTATTAAAATAAAAATACTTAAAGTATAATAACTTTGGTCGCTGCACCATTTTTTTCTCGTTATAGGATTTTACTATTTTTTTATATTTTTTTTATTATAAGCCTTCACGTCGCCAACCGAGGTCGTCTACTCCCGCGCTCTGATGGTCACGTTGCGATCTGAAAAACGTCCAAGAAATGTATAATTTGTAAATATTGACCAAAAAGCTGGTTGTGAAGGCATCGGCCAGTCTAAAACGTACCCGCTCAATTAGCCTTTTTGGCGTCCTTGGCGTCCTCCTTGGGCTGCCCCTTTCCGAGGATCTTGGCGAGGGAGTCCCAAATGCCCCCCAGGAACAAGGCGCTGAACAGATTCTCAAAAGGCACGAAGGGGTCGTGAATGCCCAGCAATATCGAAGATAGCTGTAATTAACAATGAAGGAGTCATGAAGACGTTCTAGTATTGTCTTTGATTAACATAACTTTTATTCATTTAATAAAACACTATTTTGACCGGACTGAAGTTATGTATTACGTTACGGTCACGGTGACCACGCACGCTGTAAAGCACGCGAAACGTCGGATAAATTTAAAATTATGTTAAATAGTTGTAAATTTATAATAATACATAACTTCAATCCGGTCAAAATTGTGTTTTATTAAATGAAGACGTTCTTCCAAAAGCCACGGAGCATTATTCATACTGCACATGAAGAAATAATGTTAAGAATGTGGAATACCTTGAAGTAAACAAAGAAGATGACAATCCCGAAGTAGACGAGCGCGTGAGGCGCGGAGATGAGATCCGTCTTCTTGTCCAGCACGAAGATTATTGAGGCCACCAGAGAAGCTTTTGTGTAGCTGGAATTAATATATTGAATTAGATTTAATTTAGTAGCGTTGTTGTCGATAATAATTGATGCTTTTACACACCATTTTTTGCAATACTTAAATGCTCTAACATGTGATGAGGAGCATGATGTTATGGTCGCAAGCGCTTCCAAATATTTTGTAAATAAATAGTGATTTAAAAGAATGACGGAGAGTTAATCGCTAGTTTTTCTCGTCCGGCCTACGCCCTTGGTTTGAGAACTGGCAGTAAATGTAAATATAGAACCAATTATGTTTAACTAACGTTCATAATATGAATAAATTATATTTTCATTTGGGATGGGTTTTAATCTTGTGGCGTGTGGACGCCAGGTTCATCCATGGTTGGGAGCTCCAGGTCATGGCGGTAATTTACATTTCGCACGTATGCGGACTCCGGATTTTCGTCGCGGCTAGATCTGCAGCTGGTGTGGGAGATTACGCAAGCGTAGGGTTGGCATGGTCGGATACAGGCTCACTCTGTGTCTAAGGGACATCTGACTCCTTTTCCTCCTTGCACCATTCAAATGTGAGTATTATGTTTAAAATACGTGGTATGAGACTCACAAAGTGGGCTGCATAGTCTCCATGGCGGTGGGAGTCCAAGCGCCGCGAACCAGCCTCTCCACTAACTTGGTGAAGCCGGCGCCGTTGCCCTTTATTGTTCCTGGAATGTTTTAATAATTTTAAGAATGAGTATATCTGGATCACTTAGTAAATCCAGCTATCCATAGAAACACGATAGGAAGAGTGAAAACTGACCGATGACGACCATGATGATGTAAGCGTTAGGGTACAGTTTAGCTGCGTGAGTTACCCCATCGTACACTTTCTTCGCCCTGTATATCTCCTTCATGGCCGCAGCCGTCACCTTCACGGGAAGGAATTTGGCTACTTTGTACCCGACGTCGAATGGCGTGTAGAACACCACGTACCTGAAATATTTATAATTTGCAAACGTCAGGCAAATTTCAGCCATCTTTCCTTGAACGATTATAATAAATCATTTCTTAGTATAATTATTTATTATTAGTGATGAGTTATGTACAGATACATAATATCGTAATAGGTATAAAACAAATATTCTTATCCAGACATTTTAATCGAGTTGTACTGTTGGTTTGCAGAATAAAGATATGTTTTTGGGTTCAGGTGCGGCAGAACCCGTAAGTTATCATCATTGTTTTTTGAAATATTAGGTAATTATTTTCGTAACTCTTCGCCAAATACAATCTCCGAACTCAATGGTTAGTTAACATATACACTCAATCCTTATGAAAAGCCAAATCCATTGAATAAATAGAGAAAAAGTGACGTTACCATGTAATCGTTCCTATTAGTAGCTGTGGTGTGTTTTTAAGAGGTGCCAGAATGGGCTCCCCGAGCAGCCCGTTTGCCACCATGCCGCCCGCGAAGATGACTAGCATGGTGGACAGCCAACACGCTAGAGGGTGTTTGCGGGAGAACGCTTGCGCTCCTGTTGAATACATTAATTGGCGAAGTAAGAATAGCTTCAGTTTCTGAAATGTCTAATATACTACAACTAGTGAGGCATTTGCCTAAATAAGCAAGATGAGGATGGGATTACGCTTCGTGTACCCAGTTATCCGAAACATCACACAAGCCAAAGCGGTGCAATAGGGGAAGGATAAAACGGGATGACGCGACTTATGGATAACTTCATCAATAATTTAACATGTGCCAACGTGGCTCGTTGGTCTAGGGGTATGATTCTCGCTTCGGGTGCGAGAGGTCCCGGGTTCAAATCCCGGACGAGCCCGACGGTCTCTTTTACTCCAGTAGCATATTCTTGTCTTTTTTATACTTTTTTGGTTCATGGTTGGACAACGTTTTAAGAATATGAAATTTATATATGGTTGTTACTTTAACGATAGTAGCTATAATAATTACAGTAATTTACGTCATCTTTTACTTATTTTACGTCGTTCTTAGAATTTATTGGCTGTAATTGAAACCTTCGATCAACGCTTATCGGTTATTCAACACAACAATGAAAAATGTATTTAATTTTTATGCCCGAAATGAGTTTCAGATGAGCAAATTTCCCAAATACAAATGGGATTCAGGCAGATAAGACCCTGATAAATTTGTTATCGGTTTGATAACAATGAGGTAATTAATTAACATCACAAATTTCGTAGGTTTCATTTATTAAATATTATTACATTCCGTTAACGCACGCTGTGACCATTTTGTTATACAGGGAAGAGGGAACTGATCTATTTTTAACTTGTATCGGTTTATTTTAGTACTTTGTCGTGGGCACCCAGACACATTAAATAGTCTGTTCAATCACGACGTAGGGAGGTTTTAACGTGCGAAAGTCATAATAGGCGGGAAAAGGTTTATGAAAATACATTACCAGCCCCTAAATCTTCCCTCACGGCAAGAGCGCATAATAATGAATGCGCGATATCGAAATACGGATACATTTTCAGTTTAATGACCTGATTGGCCAGGTCCAAAAACGCCTCGGGATCCATGGTGAATATTTTTAAGAAGTACTAAAATTAATAAAGCAATTTTTGAACACTAAACACTGACGACTGTGCGACACAAAGTGTCCGCGACTATCCGCGGGCGACGATGCCGCGAGACTGACTTCGGCTTGCTCACACCGGAATGTAAGTCACTAGAGGAAAGGGCTTTAGATTATTTTGGTGCCTCAGCGAAGACCGCTAGGATTCACCTGATGTTTGCTACGTGGCCGATTGCCTGAATCAAAGTATTTAACTTTTTCATGAATTAACAGCCATATTATCGTGAATTACCTATTCAATATTTTCAACAATAATAAATAAGTTTCCGTAGTGTAGCGGTTATCACGTGTGCTTCACACGCACAAGGCCCCCGGTTCGATCCCGGGCGGAAACAGAGATGAGATCTTTTTAGCTATTTTTTTATTTGAAATTTATATTAAAATCAAGTACGTTTTATCTTAAATAATAAGGGTTGATGTGGAACAAAAATATAGACAGAAACAATAAAACTCTTTAATTTTTCCAATTTTTATTATTAAAAGTATACAAATATTAGAAAATAAAAAAAATAAATTAGCGTTAAATATTACAATCGTAATTAAATATCGAGAAGTAAAGGCTCAATTTAATTTCTCTTCAGTCTTATTTAGTGGACACAGCCAAAGCTTTGGGATTTGCGGGAGAAAGCCGTTCCTGGATAATAAATAATGGAGGGAAGATGGAGAAATAAATATCATTAGTTTTAATAAATATAAATAAATTTCAATCGAGGAGCGCATTGCGTTGTAACATACTTAATATTAGAAAAGCTTTTTCGGAGCGACGACTCTTTGAAAGGGAATATGCATTGTAAGAAAAAGACATTATACAATTTAATTATTTGTTAAAGCCATAAGATAACATAAAATGCAGAATAAGGGAAGGAACGTTAAACGAGTTGTTTAGGTAATTTGGGCAGAATTTTAACTGAACTTTTGCTAACTCGGTTAGGTCAGTAAAAAATATAAATACTTCAATTAATACTACGCTAAATTTATAAATAACATTTAGAAAAGTGACGTCGGGGACACTCTTTCCCTCCTCGTGCTCACACCCTCGTTGTCATTCTCGTCGGATGTCCTTCTAATGGGACAACAACAATTGTGCACATTCCCTGTCGACGAATTATAGGCATCGGCAAACCCTTCATCCGGGTTCCGGCGTCCGACGGGACCTTTTATTAACTTTTATAATATACATTCCATAACGAGACACCGAAACATTGAAATCGGACGTTTCGATCCGAACAAATAATATAATTTCACCTTAACTAACCGTAAATATTTTGATTCATAGAAGGCAATACGTGTAAATAAATAATTTAAAGATAAAACAACAGGGAGATTCGGGAACGAAGCGAAGTCTTCGCTGCACCAATGGAAGTCGAAGCGGTTCCCCTAAATATTGAGCGCAGCTTACGACTAATGGTAAGGCTCGTTCGGTGGAACCTTCAATATATCAGTTCGCCTCCTGCGATCCTGTGGAAAATCCGAGCTATTAGGAAGCCGTCGGCCGAGGGATGGGGCGAAGTCCGGGTCGGGGAACTCACCTCTCTCGGGAGGGCGACGCGTGCGCGGATCTGCCGTTGGCTGAAATTTGTAATATTTACTTTTACTTTATTTTACACTTTAGGTACAGAAACAGAAAACAGATTAATTAAATAAGTACATACAGTTATTCCACACTAAACAACATTTGTAAACCTGAAGTCCAATTACATCTGTACACAGTATTTTAGTGAAATCTTCAGTGCTAATTAACTTAATATTAACAATTACATATAGTATATAATATGTACATATATTAAATTTAATGACATAAAAATTAAGTTATTCAGATTGAAAGTGATCACCGCAAATAATCTTTCTAAATTCATAAATACTATTGTGAGGAATACGAACGTGAGAACACACAGAATCATAAAACTTGCACATTCTAGCGAGCGGAGCATTCTGGGATACATTGTTGTCACTTGTGGGTATGACAAATAGTTTTTGGGTAAACCAAATCAAGTGGGGCTCGGGGTGCCTCACCTATCTTGTGGGCGGGGTTCGGTCCGTTCCGCTCGTGTCGAACGAAGTCGAGGACGGATTCGAGCCGGGCGTTCTCGATTCCGGACACGTCTCCGTGCACCGGAGCGGAGTCTCGCTTCTCCGGAGTGGAGGTGACGATCTCTTCCCGGGAGTCCTCGAACGACTTGTCGAGGGTGGCTTCCGTCATTTCCGCGTCGCTCCTCGTGTTCGCGGCCGAAACGATTGAACAATAATCCTCCTTTTGAATAAATTATATTTTAATAACTAAACACAAGTATGTATTACGGAAGCACTATAGAGGGGATTGGGGGGTCATTGATTTTCTTATTTAGTGAATACGTCAACAGTAATTATTTACTTTTTTACACATACTACCCACTCATTCGGAATTGTGATTTACACAGATGTCGCCATTATAAATAAAGTGAAGTGAAGTACCCACTCGTTGTCTATGCCAAATTGCAGTCAATCTGCTAACGTAAGACGCGGCCAAACAAAAAGTGGTCGACCATTAAACAAGAAGATTTTTTACTTGTTTTCATTAAATAAAGTTACAAATGTAAGAACCTATCACCAAGTGAGTCCTTATGCAAAATGACTGCTTTTCACCCTGTTTTAATAACTGAGTGTGTCTGGGATGTTCTGAATTAAGTTCTAAATAGAGTAATTGCAGAAGAGTGGAAACATATTCATCAAAAGCCAAAAGGCTTCAAGCTGTGATTTTGGCAAAAGTAAAAAATCTTCTTGGCTCTTAAAGCGTATCTCGTGTATTCACGTCACCTTGGGACGTCCATTTCCTCAGGTGACCGTTTTAATATAAAAGAGTTTATTTATTTCAGATAAACAAAGCGACACATTAGCCCTTGTGCAAAAATACTTCTTGAATGGGGCATTTAAAATAACATTGATAAAATTTAATTTTGCTTTTAATCGCGAGATACCGTTTCGCTGGCGTCGTCGGTGTCGGCTTCGACCTGCACCATCTTCTCCAGGAGTCTCTCCATGCTAGGCTCGTTCCTGGACACCATCTGGAATAGCGAAACGTCGAAGGGTTAAGGGCAGAGTGCGCATCGGCAAATCGACAGACGTCGGCTCCTCACCACCAGCTCGTCTCCACTGCTTTGCGAGTTGTTATTGGGGCAGTGAGAGTTCCTGAAGCACATCGTAAACTCGAACAGAGAGTAAATCCCACTTCGCCAAGACTTGGGCTCGCTGCGCGCGCGCATCATTCGACTGCCTTGGTATTTCAACGTGCGCAAGTAGCGACGCTTTCCTTGGATGTATATCACCTGGAATCGTTACATTGCCACATGAGACACTAAAAAGCTAACCTCCTCTGTACTGCTATCGGCACCTGACTTTGCCGCTGTTCGACCTGGTGGATTTATTCATTTAAGTTAAAGTTTCAGTCTGGGCATCCTATTTATTACGACTATCGTGTTACATGAGACCTTATCGCAAAAAAAGTCAGGTCTATTAGCAATAGTCATCCTTATGCTAGGCAATCTGAATCTAACGCATTATGTAAATCAATATAAATACCACATCGGCGGATCTTAGCGGCGGCTTCCCAAGGAACAAATTAATGAGAGAAATGGACTCTCTGATGACTCGAAGGGCTACCAGCAACATCAGGAAGAACACCCAGGGTAGAGGACGTATTAACTCTGGCTGTCTCTCGTCCTGTTCCACTGGAAAATTATGTAATGGTATAATGCAGGAAAGCAAGTTAATTTCATCGTCATTGCAAGAGACATACGGGGTGGTGGCACGGCCCATCTCGCCGACTTCTCGACGGTCCAAAGGGCTTTGTCAACGAATCTGAGGGCCGATTGACCCACTCGATAACTAGCAGCGACCTCTGCGGCTTCGTGAAGCAATTCCTTGCCAAATGACACCAGTTCCATCACCGTCTGTAATATAAAGATGATCTTTCATGTCATGACTACATTAAGTCCTGAGGTACCAATGGGTTTTCCTATCCAAACGAATGGTGATTACAAACATCAGATAGCCCGACATAGCGGCCAATACGGATACCGACAAAGGACGGGCTAAAGCGGGCCATAGACGGGCCGCATGTTGCAGTCAAGACCGACTGCAACATGCGGTCGCCGCACGGCGATCTGCAGTTTCCATACTAAATTCATATTCGCAATACACGGACCGCTCGAGCAGTTCCTGAGCAAACCGCATGTTGCAGTCGGTCTTGACTGCAACATGCGGTCCGTCTATGGCCCGCTTAAGACTGGCCCACTGGCTGCCATTCCTGAACTACATTAGAGATCGAAATTTATTTTTTATCTAAACCGAGCTCTCAAAGTATAAAGTTTGAAACTATTCCGAGCTTGTAATATGTCATGCAAAATATGAAGTAAACCTCAACTCGACAAGTGATAAATACAACAACGATTAATGTTTATCGCTTTTCTAAAGCCAAAATTATTTATTTATTGCGACATAAAAAGATTATCAATGACAAAGATACCTCATAGTTATGATGATGATATGCAATTAAGCCGACTTAAACTACCTTACGTAATTTTGTCCGTAAAATGAAGAAACATATACGTATATTTAATCAAAACTTTTTCACAAGAATAGTTAACGCAAGGTCGCTAAGTACAAAAAAGTATCGAGTTTTATTTAACTAATGTTATAAAATATCCAATGTGTCTATTGTAGCTTGTTTTATATTACCGAAATAATTTGTAGTCAATGTGATAATAAAACTTTCTAGCAATTCTCGACCATCATTATGATGTAAATAGTAAACACAGTTATCAGGAGACGATAAAAATTTAGACTGTTGTAACAAAGTTCAAAAGTTACGGTTGTGAAGATAAACTAAGCATGTTTATCGCCAGTATCATATTATTGCCACTAATTGATGGTAATTATCAAGGTGCAACTTCTATTAGTACTTATAACTTTTCTGTTTCACATCTCACTGAAAAGGAACCACAGGCGATGACGTCTACGACATGGAATAGAAAAAAACCGTGTTCTTTTCCGTGGTAACAAATGGGTGTGTGTAAAGTAACATAAAAAGTTAATTAAGTTATACAATTATAAAAAAAAATACCTTACTATTATAATAATCAAACAAGAACAATTTGACTCACGCTGTAATAAGTAATAACGAAGTACCGACACTGTGTTTAAGTAAATCAGCTGAAAATACCTTCCCACAAATCATATCAGCGTTAATTCGTAAACAAACTAATAACAACAAATGTTTGGTTTCTAAGAAATATTTAAACGTTACAAAAAAAAAAACGTGACCTTAAATTTTTCCACCTTTATAATTATTTCCTTCCGATCGATATAATAAAATTTTAGATTTTTATTTTTATAGAACTTTTTCTATACTAACATACAACAAAATAGATTTATATGCTGCACATAAAGTAATAAACTAAATTAAGTTATATAATTAAAGCAATAATTTTATTAAGAAACGTTTAGCACAAACATGAAACTGGTTTATCTCCAATGCTTGTTTTATTGATACATAATAAAACAATTAAGATATCAAAATTACATTATAAATAATTCCCACCTCTTTTTACTATCTATTATTTTCAATACCAGAGAAAGATAATCAAGGGTAAAATTAGCTTTACTTGTTTAAGTCTTATAAGTTTTCCAGTGTTTACCGGATAACACTTTTTGTCGCAGTTGCTTGGACGTCATCACAAAATGAGGCGTGACGTAACTCGATTACTGATTTCTTAAATTATTATAGTCCTTAAATTAGCATCACAACACTAATTCTTTACAAAACCAAACCGAATTGTATTTGTAATGTAAATTGTATAATATATATTATAATATTAATTGATTACGCAGACGGCAGACATAAGTTGACTAAATCAGTGAAGCTGTGTAATTGTGTTTTTAGTAAAAATACTATATACCTACCGCAAGATGATTCGTAGTTGTTACTTTATTTCCTTTTAAAATTACTTCACCTTGACAATAATGTCTAAAATGAAACCAATATCAAAATTCTTTTTAATAAACGCATACTTACGATAATGGCTCTAGCGATTGTTGTGTTGCCTCGAGTTAAACAATAAACCGACCGTCGCTTTCATAAAACCAAACAGCATTGGTATTAAATATATATACATACAGTCAAAATCTGTTATAACGACATCGAAGGGACGTTGACCGTTGTTATTAAGAACCAATACAATATAATTCAGCCGGGACCTATGATTTGGGACAATATAACCGGTATGTTGTTCTATACGATGTCGTCGTAAACGGTTTTGACTGTATTTTAATAATAAGTAGGTAAATGGTAATAAGTAATAACTAATAACCAGTAATTAAGTTTAGTAACAAGTAACAACAGATTGCAGTATAGGCAACAATGAACAAAAGACAAAACTCGCATAGGATGAGAAATGGGATAATATGATAATAATTAATATTAATATAATAATAAATAAATTATAAAGAGTTTTCGTATATCTATATACGTGCGCTCTTTCAAAAATATGGTAATCACTTAACATCAGGTGAATTTGCCTCGTTTGCCTGAGAACAATTACGTTATGTAGACCTTAACCAAATTTCTAATCAAAACGTTAGCGCGTTACAACGGCCAGCCAGCGCCATCTATTGGAACGTAATACATTGAATCATAAAGAGCCCAATGGCTACTAAGAGCCACTAAACCAAATAGCAAATGCAAATACATAGTTATATTGATGGATATTTTATTAAATTGTTTAACTAACTTCTCACCTACAATTTATCACATGTAATGATAAATGTAGAAGGTAATATAAATAACATTTTTTAAATCTTGCATTTGCAGCACTTATTACCTACAAAGTTCTGTTATGACATCAAACGCCGGATATTAAAATTAGTGCGAGAACTAATAATAAACAGTAAGTAAGGTCAGGGGTTAGTGCAATCACGCTGATATGGCGACAGTCACGACAAATATCTTCAAAACTAATTAATATTCATAATTGCATTTCTCTAACAAATTTTGTTTAGTTTATACAAATCAGTTAACTAATTACATTTTTTTAAATTAAATGATTGTAGGGAAAACTATTAGCAAAAACAAATGTTGGTTTACCTATCAATATTTCAAACAATTTAAGGACCTGTTAATTAGGATAAACAATAATATTTATGCCAATGTTATAAAGCTGAATAGGTTGTTTGTTTGTTTTAATTATTTCTTAATAATTATGTTATTCACAAATATTTATTTCTAATAAATATCTTAAATTAAATCGGAGGTCTTAAATTAAAGCAGGTGAAACTGTAGGGCACAGCTCATTCTAATTATAAAACTGTAATTCTTGACTGAATATAAAATATTATAGATTTTTTTTAGTTACTAATAATTATATTCTATGAATGTGAAATTATGTTAGTTATCTTACTAATAAGAATAATAAAACACCAATATATTACTGGTCTTGATGTGAATATTTATTTTAACCATAATTTCTTATTTTTACAAAAAATTAATTTCTTAGTATGATAGTTTATTTTCTTATGAAGCCTAAAGTAATAGCGAATCTTTTAATACATAAAAGGTAAATAAAAATGTAACATTATTGCAGATTTGCATTTGGAATTAAATTAAATTAAAACACAGCACCATAGTATTGTTTTAAATTGTTAGAAATAAAAATTTGTATATTTATCAACAATACCGACCTTTATTTATCATGCCTTCAATAAATTTACTATTGGAAAAGTATTACTTCCAATAAGTAATTAAGCAAAAACTGGGCGTTGTACTGAAACTGTATACTACACAGTATAATTTAGTATTTTTAATAATCTTATCTATTTAGTAGTTAGTAGAAAAATCATGTAATATACATGTATTATGCGATTTATGAGCATTAACCGTGGAAGGTGGTAATTAACTATAATAATTTTAAAGAATCAAATAAAACACTTACTTCAGGGAGGACACAGCGTAAAATAAAAGTTGAAGCAATAGGTTAACAGAACTATTATCAATTATTATTTATATGACTGTTTTAATATTGTTTTATTTTTTTAACAGCACTGTACACTAGGAGCTGCTGCTCGATTTTGAACAATTTTGAAAAGGTATAAATGTCGAGTGTACTTGACACTCGGCTCGGTTCATGTCAATTGTTAATTGTCGAGGACCTTTACTTTAATAATTTTTAATGACATTTGAATATTGTAAGCTTCTACGAAAAATAAGGCTCGATAATCGATTACACTATGATGCCATTCACGGTTCGATCTCGCGGCGGTCTCGGTCCGGTAAAATATTCTTAGATACATAATAATGAATTAGAGTACTCGTAATAAAGACAAAATTAGCGCACCAACCAGAAGGCTGCATATAACGAGTAATTCTTTCCAAGGCAATTGTATACGTTTTTTCAACAAAATCCCTAGTGAGATACAAGCGTTGTCAATAAATAAATTTAAATCGTACATTAAAGTAAAACTGCTGGCTAAGGCTTATTATAATATAAATGAATATTTAAACGATCCTAGTGCTTGGATATGAGTTGCTCCAGTATATATTATAGGTAACACGACTGAATCTCTCGGCTGCATTTCCAGACTCTGGGGTGATCGTCAACATCCACGACTGTTTTAATGTAAAGTGGGATCAAACCGTGATCCATGTGGTATCCAATTATTTCAGTATTATTATTATTTTCTTATGTAGCCAAGTCCACATTTCAAGGATCGTCATGCTCGCTTAAATGTCATTGCTTGTGGCGGCGTCCATGCGTCGGGTTGTCTCTCTCCCTAAAATATGGCGAGGGGGCCGATGGCTGGCCATGCGTCATACTCGTGAACGGGTGCTACTTGTGGTGACTGGTCGTACTTGAATTCGTGTATGCGGTGATGTTAATTATTTCGACTATGT